AGAAAAAGAAAGAAAGAAGAAGAAAGGACGGACGAAAAGATAAGATATATGTGGTTAGGTTTATTTAATGGTCCCATTCCAAAAAGGATTGGGCTTCGGACCCAAAATACCTGATTAAATTGTCATAACTTGAGCTCTGTAACTCCGATTCGCGAACCGTCTGATCTGACGCGATCAAAAAAATATTTCCTACGAGATGACATAAAAGTTGGGCTTAAAATCCAAATTATAATTTTAACCCCTATTTGGGCCCAATTCGTAATCAATTGCTCTAACAATTTAATTAATTCTTTTGGGCCAGGTTTCGGGGCGTTACACAGACCATAAAAGTCTCAAATATGTGCTAACTCAAAAAGAGTTGAACCTAAGACACAGAAGATGGCTAGAACTCATCAAGGATTATGATTGTTATATTGACTATCACCCTGGCAAGGCTAACGTAGTTGGTGATGCATTGAGCCGAAAGATGATAGCCGAACTCCGAGTCGAGCCTACTCTTGAGAACGAATTTCACGCTGCACAAAAACATGATGATTACTGTGTGAAGACTTGTGAACTTGACTCTAAGGGTGAGAGACAAGACTTCACTGCGAATGACGGAATTTTATTCTACAAGAATCGTTTGCTAGTTCCTAGTGGTGAAGTGAAAGAATGTTTAATGTGTGAATCTCACGAAACCACATATACCATGCATCCTAGTAGTAATAAAATGTTCCAGGATCTAAAGAAGACATATTGGTGGCCCACAATGAAGCGGGAAATTTCTGAATTTACAACATGATGTCTAACGTGTCAACAAGTCAAGGCTAAACATCAAGTTCCAAGTGGATTGTTACATCCACCTACCATTCCTAAATGGAAGTGAGAACGAATTACGATGGACTTTGTGATTGGACTTTCCATTATCAGCCAAGAAGAATAATGTTGTCTGGGTAATCGTTGACCGATTAACCAAGTCATCTCATTTTATCCCAATTCGGTGTGAAATGTCATTAAAGAGATTGGCAGAGTTGTACATCCGTGAAATCGTAAGATTACATGGTGTACCTTTCTCTATCATTTCTGATCGTGACCCGCGATTCACGTCCCATTTCTGGAAGAGTTTGCAAAAGGCCCTAGGTACTAAACTCAACTTTACTACGGCATTTCATCCTCAAACGGACGGAAAATATGAAAGAACAATCCAAATCCTGGAACATATGATGAGGGCATGTGTAATAGATTTCGGAAGCAACTGGGACAATATCTACCATTATTGGAGTTTGCTTATAACAACAGTTATCAAGCAAGTATCCATATGGCCCCGTACGAAGCTCTGTATGGGAGACGTTGTAGAACCTCAGTATGTTGGACAGAGTTAAGCGAGCAAAAGCTTGAAGGACCTGATCTTGTTCGAGAAACGGAAGAAAAGGTTCGTCTGATTAGAGAAAGACTACAAGTGGCTTCTGACCGACAGAAATCTTATGCTGACTTGAAACGTCGTGAGATTGAATACAACGTGGATGACAAGGTATTTTTGAAAGTATCGCCTTGGAAGAAAGTGCTACGGTTCGGTGGGAAGAGAAAACTGAGTCCAAGGTATATTGGACCATACCGAATTACTGAACGTGTGGCTCCAGTAGCTTACCGGTTAGAACCTCCGCTTGAACTGAATAAAATTCATGATGTATTCCATGTATCGATGTTGAAAAGATACCGTTCCGATCCATCGCATATCTTGAATGATGGGGTCGTAACTCTTGACGAACATTTGACCTACGAGGAGGAACCTATACAAATTATGGCACGAGAGATCAAGCAATTGAGAAATACATCTGTCCCTCTAGTCAAAGTACTACGGAGGAATCACTCGACTAAAGAGGCAACATGGGAAACCGAAGAGTTAATGAGAACGCAATATCTGAACCTCTTCAATCAATCACTCAAGTAATTTCGACGGAATTATTTTAAGAGGGAGAGAAATGTAACACCCCGAAAGTAGACCTATCAGAATTAATTGATTAATAATTAATTAATTACTCAGAAGGACCCAAAAAAATAAGTGACTTATAAAATTTGTCAATAAATAATGAAAATTATATCATTATGTAGAGTTTGAGTGCCTGATCCCAATGGTTCAATCAAATTTCAATTTGGAAAAAGTTGGATCAAAAAGTGTACCCCGACTCGGACCAATTATTAGTCCCAATCAAGGACTACACACCAAACGACGCCCTGTGCAATCACCGCCGATTCCAAAATCGCAGAAGCAATCAGGAATGTAACTCCCTTTGCTCCTTCCTCTCTCCTTTCCTATATAAGAAGCATCCTACTCCTCCATTTCTTCACCAAAAACACCCAATTCTTCTTCTAATTGTCCCTGAGAATGTGGAGAGTAGAGTGGTGCTGTCTAGAGAGCCAGAGGTCGCCGGAGTTGAGAGTAATTGTCGCCGGAAGTTTCGCTGGAAAATTTCCAAAACCTTCATTTAAGCTTGAGGTAAGCCCGTAGATATATCTTATGACTAGAATCTTCATATAGATCGTTTCTACATTCATAAACGGTCATTTGGTTGAGTTTTGTGTTTGACATGCTTGAATAATCAAGAATCATAAACCATGAAATTATTGTTAAAATTATGAACTAATGTTACCAAAATGATCTATGAACCTTGGAGAACATTTCTATATACTTTGATTCAAGTTTGGTGACTAAAAAAGACATTTCCGTAAGTTGGCTCGAGGTAGAAGACGATGTAAAATCAATTTTTCATAAATAAATCGATTAGACTTTCGTCTGCTGAAGAAAACGAATCCAGCAGAGGAAAAATCGATTTTTGGACTATAAAAATCGATTATTCAACAATAAAAATTGATTATTATGATACTCTGCTGAAGAAAATGAAGTCAGTAGCTATTAATCGATTTTCCTATCATATATTAATCGATTATTGTTCAGAAAACATGATTTTTGAACTATGAAATTCTATTTTTGATAATAATTGATTATAATCATTATAAGGATGATTTTTCATAATAAAAATGACATTTTTGTCAAATAAGACCTTATGTGATGCATGACGGTAAGTTAAAGTGTTAACACTCGAAACTAGGCCGCTACTTGCTATTGGATGTTATGTTAATTGATATTATGATGAATGATTATTATGGATGGTTATGAATGATAAACATACTGATTAGAATGATTATTGATGATTAAATCATGATTAAAAATGAATATGATGGTGATCATGAAAACGGTGTATATTGTTTAGGGTATCTAGAAGAACTCTAAGATATACCCACTTGTATATTGATGATGATTATTAAGGATATCTAGAAGAACTCTAAGATATACCTCCTTGACCAATTCATAATTCGAGGTTAAAACGTACGTACGGGATCCAGAACGGATATCACTCGCCCAACAAATTACTATTCGGTTGGTACGTAATATAATCCACATGACTCATAGGGTGGATTATTGATTCCTGTGTTCTGTATTAAAGTATTTTTAGTTTTAGGGCCTGGTTAGAAATATTGTCTTAGACTAGGAATAGCTAAGAGCTTGTTATTAAATGATTTGGCCTTAGATTAAGAATAATTTAAGAGTATCATTGAGATATTGAATATCAAATGACTTAGAATAAAATATTGAGAATATCATGAATGTTTGAATCATATATTGTGTGCATGATATCAAATGGTTGATTATGAATTGAGATTCAATTTATGTGGATGTTCGACGCTTTAAATATGCTTACTCAGCTTCACCGTTGAGCGTGTAGTGTGTTTTATTTGCTACATGCAGGTAGGCAGAATGAGTGAATGGCTTAATCCTGGCAGCGGAAGGGGCGCGACAGTCGTGGTGGATCATTGAATAAAATAAATAATTATGTTGTTATGAGACATGTTTAAAAGTTGTTTCCGCATTATTATTAAACACTTCGTATTTTCTACTATCATGTATGAAATTTTATTTATGATGAATAAAGTTATTTGAAATGTTTTAAATACGATTACCAAGTTAAATACTTTAGTCCGAAAGGGGCTGCAGACCTGGACGGATTAGGGTGTTACACGTTATGTTGGATGCAATCTTCCAAATCAGGACATCACATTGACCCTTGATTGATGTTGTTTGAGAAAAATTCCAAAGGAGATTAATCTGATTCAATATGGAGGATTTCACCAAGGGTATTTACCATTGTCATTACATGGTATTTAGGGAACAAGAATGGATGAAATGGATTAATCTCACTTGGAAACTCTTGGTGGTTGAATGGCAAATATCTTGGAAGATCTTTCAATAATATTTGATATGATTTTAATTGATATTTGTAGTTTTCATTTATTTAATTAGTTAGTAGCTTAGTGCTAACCTAGGCCTATAAAAAGGGTGTGATTTATCATTTGTAAAGCATCTTGAGTTGGAAAAATATGGAAGTGATTTCTCATTTAAATTGTCTTTTTTAGTTTACGATATTTGGCTGATTTTATTTTCAAATCATTTTATATGGAAAATGGTGTAGAATTAAAAAATAAAAAATACATATTTAAAAACTATGTCAAAAAGTCTTCAAAACTAGTGGTGACATGAGTATATTATTTTATCAAATGACTAACAAAAATAGAAAAAGAAAGTGAATAAAATTTGACCATGTCAATAGTAAACATGCAATTTATTTCGGGACGGAGGGAGTAACATACTTTAAATCTCGATTTAATTGACATTTTATAGACATTTTCGGGAGATGATTTAGTGAATAAATTTAAATTATAAAAGATCACAGAAATAATTTTTACTTATTGAGCACTAATTTGAAAACGACTATTTTGAGAATTGTTATTCACGAACCTCTGCAGTGTCGGGTGGTGTAATCTCCATCATATAGTACAAACTACTAGATTGTATTGCTTTCAATCGCGGAAACGCGAAAAATATTTGAGCACTTCACGGATTAATTCATTCAAATGGTGTGCAATACAAACAAAGGTTAAGGAAAAGCATTTACAAGAAACCAATCCCCAGAAAAGATTAATTATATACTAACGAAGATCAACAATGGTATGTAAGATATATATAGGCTATGACATTGCTCAATGCTCACATTCACAGTGAAGATCACCAAGTTCCCCAACTTGACACTTAAACCTCACTCAATCTCCCCTCTTCAAATGGGTAGAAAATTGGGTTCAGATATGTATCTTCATTCAACGTTTTTGAATTGGCCCCACCGTCTTGCTTGTCCTTCTCCATTGCTTCCTGAAGATGGTGCAGAAGCGTTTATTTAATAACTAAAGCCAAATGTATATGAATCAAGCAATGCAATGGTGGGACATGACTATAAAAATGAACTAACTCTAGTTATCGCGACTTTGCAAATGCAACATCAATAGAGATAATGTTCACTGCCTGGTAGAATATAGTAATCGTGTTGTTACCTCGAGGGGATATGTTCTGAATGCGGGCTCAAATCGGCTCTTGCAATATTTGTGAAATGCAAATGTCAGAAATGGCAGCAGAATGAGCAAAGGAGTAGATTTGGCAGCCTTTTTTGTACTAAGCAAACCCATAAGAAGAAGTTGAGAAAGCACCAAGCTTGCTATTATGCGACCATGAACGTGTGGCCAAAATGCACCTGCACTCTCGTATTGCTGATCGTACACATTGATAACCTGCACACACACACACACAGTACCAATCTCACTACTTTCTACTAATTAATTATTTCAAAAGTTCCAAAAAACAAAAAAGAACTTGTTAGCATATTTGCAAAAACAAACCTGGTGACGGTACACAAGGTATGCGAAGGCAAAGAAGACGAGTATGAAAGGAAGAAGAATTGGAGTGACCACAGCGTAGACACTACCCAGAAGAAAGTACAGTTGCAGAGTGGAGAGAGTCCTATAGAAATTTACACCACCAGGGTACATTGCGTTACGCTTGTCCTTTTCTGTTTTCGCAAACATTTTCAGAAGATGATAAACGAGAAAGGGTTTCAGCCTAAGAATCTCAAGAGCGATGGCAGACCACCCATCAACCATTATGTATGTTATGAAGAACGTCGCTTTCATGGGTATTGATACTCCAACGTTTCTTGGTATTCTGCATTCTCAAAAAATACCAAGTGATTGATCAACTCATGGGAAAATATAATTAATTTAAAGATGTTAGCATTAGCCAAGCTAAAAAAACAAATTTAAGAGAGCTGGGTTTTGTGCATTACTGGGAAGCAGACTGGTGAAGAAATGCATTGAGTTGCTGGAAAGCTGTTCCTGCAATAATACTCCCAAAAAATATATTGATCAGAATGAAATAATAATACTTTGCTGCTGCTGTCCTTTCTATCACTGATAATGCCACATGTCCCTCAATTTTTGACATGAACAAAAGAATGTCTGGTAGAACTAACAAGAAGATCTTAAGAGTTAAGCCGGGAACGAAACCCTGTAGGAAAGACTTGATCACCTTCCTGCGTGCATTATTATCATCCCATGGGAAATTAGCAGTGAAATCGAACAAACAACACAACGTACTGCTTTTCTTTAGAGACAGAGATAGGATCGGGATGCACTAACCATTCAATAAACGGCCTTAGGAAAGGCGCGACCTTTTCAAGACCTTCCAGGTTTGCCAGAGATTGCACGAATGCAATAGGTATCATGTAAAAGAAGATCAAAGCAAATAATAGTATGGTCATCAACAGTCTCCGGAAACTCATAGAAAGAAATGACAGTGGCACATTCTTCCAACATATGTCTCGGGGCTCAGGGGCCCACCGTGTATGCCACTGTATAGGATTCTTGCTGTTCTGTGTCTGGGCACACACAGCTGCCCCCCATCGTGAACGGAACGAGACGAATGCAGCTGGAGTCATACACTTTGGGTCATTCATAATCTTGCTACGCATCTCGTCCAACTAAGACAATGGTAACACAAAATGTTACCTCAAACGGATAATAATCTCGCAAAGACAAGAAGAAATGGGTTGTTGGGATAGGGACATGTACGATCACAATTTAAAGAGAAAAGGAGATTAAAAATAATTACATAGGGATTAAGAAATTAAATACTCCTGTAAAGTTGGAAATTTTAATTTTGTGTGAAATCCCATTATCCCAATCCTAATCTTTTATAAAAGTAATTAACAAATCAAAACAAGCTAGGAGCCAGCAAGGAAACAACTTACTTTCTCGTCCATTTTTTTACATTTCTCTGCATAAAACTCAGTGCAAGGAACTCTTTTACCCCAAAGTCCAAGAAAGCCTGACTGAAGAATATAGGAACATAATTAGAGAAATGATTTTGGCACCAGGTTGCATTCTAAATTGCATGTGAAACAGGGTACACACCCTCCTTGTTGCATACTGGTGAAAATCCATACGGTAGTACTCCACCCAATCTTGAAGCCGGCGTCGTTTCTTAACAGGTTTCGCCAAGCTCTTGACGTCATAAACAACCTAAACAAGGGGATGCCAGTAACATATATATGGGATCAAGGGTAAACATTGAGTGGAAGACTGACACCGTACGGAAAACAAAAGCGACAGTGTGATATGATACCTTGTGGTGAAGATAGTGATCTGGGTAATTCTTCATAAAAAACTCCTCTAGTTTCTCAGATATCGATTTTAGAGGATCCAGTGGTATGTTCCGGACAAGTACCTGGAGTGCATTGGAAGAAACAACCACTCATAAAAGAGTAGAAGATTCAACATGAAGAATATGGAATCTTTTCAAAAAGATCAACAGACGCTCTATCCTTAAATCAGTTGATTTTACTTTTGTTCCATTAACTGCACAAACAAAGACATAAATAGTCCATCAATTAAGAGACATAAAATGATTTTTAACTCACAGTGAACTGTTCAGGACGATGCTGTCGCGAGGACAAAAAGTTGAGTCTCATTGATGCCACTCTCCCATATTCTTTGTACAGCCAAAAACATGTCCAAAATGTGAACAAATACTGCATTCCTATGTGCACAAAAAACCTGAATGGGACAAACCCGGACTTTTAAGTGCCAAACCCAACTAAAAACAAACAACTTAATTAGAGGAAGCACAGAAATCTATTTTAAGGAAGAATTAAAAAAAAACCATGTCCAGGTCTAAGTCATAGGGACCTGACTTTCTAATCAATTAGTTATGGATATTTCCCTGGTAAATCTTTAGTTTACTTAATCAACATCAATTCCAATACTTGCCAAATTACTTTCAATCCATGAGCGTAACTAGCCTAGCTTCCGAATGAGTTATAGGGCGATTCTTTTAGCTTTAATTTTAACTCAAGTCTAAAATCTGGCAACTGAAGCCTAGAGCACTGTGAGTCCAGAGTCTAGATGCATTAACAATTTATTCTCTGACCCCCTCCGGAATTCCCCTCTGTTTCAAAATAAATCATTTGCATATAAAGTCGGGATCTCACTAACCAAACCCAGTGCAGCAATAGGAAATAGGTATCATATTGTAGCATAATACTCCGAGGAGCAATAGGAAATGCGTAGAATACAATGGCGACATATATACACTTACTTGGTAGATTTAGGGGTGACATTGGATATAGAGAAATTGTCAATCTCGCTAACAACGAGATCGTTGCTCAGGAAGAAGAGTGTCGCATCAGAGGCATTCACTGGGATCAGAAACAACACGACCACAATTGCGGTCGGCCCGAATATCTTTAAACTATATATGTGTGTGTGTGTATGCACAAGATCGAAATTAAGATCATTAGCACTCGACGATCACGATATTATTTAGCAGAAATGAAGGAAATAATAAACCCCGAAGAAGACGGGGGGATACGCACCCAAGGGTATAAATCCTCAAGAAGACAGCGGAGTCGAGGCCGGCATGGTGGATGAGGTCGTCCTCCTTCATCTGCAGGGCCTGGGGCATCCAGTTTAGGAAAGTGAGATAACTCTTAAGATAGTTTCCCTCCTTCTTGTTATACTTGGGGCCTTTGCCTCTCTTTCTGTTAATTTCCCACTTGGGAAAGTACACCTTTTTGTTCATCGGCTGAATCCTTAGCAGAGCAAAAGCAATCAGGCAGGCTATGGCCACTCCCAGGTTTATCAGTGCCGATACCCCTATATCCGCCAATGTCGCCATTTTCTTTCTTTATTTTTTCCACACATATATGATCTGATCCCCGCCGCCCAGCAGATACCAGCTTTTAGCTTCTCTGCACATACATTTTCTCTTCTGGAAATAAAGTCTGTTGAGATGAGATGAACTTCGAACCGTTGAAAGATGGCGGGGCGGGGCTGTGGTTAATGATTACGCGCCCTAGACTAAAGCGCCTTTGCGACATTCTTTTTTACCTTTTTTTTTTCCTTTCTTACTTTCAATTTCAAAAGAAAACTGGGACCTCTTATGCTTGGCATGTAGATATTAGAAATCACTTCGGCGTGGGGAATTCCAAGTGTGTAAAGAGAAGTAAACTTTTTGACTCTGTGGCCTTCTCATCTCAAAAGTAAACCACTTTCAAATGATTTAAAAATAAAAATTTAAACTAAGAAAAATTAAATTCATGCAATCCGCACAAAAATTCAATGTTTGATATTTCGAGTCATAATAATCGGATTGTTTTACTCATTTTAATAGATATACACTTTAAGGAAAATTATATGTTTAATATATTTTATATATTTAATTTTATTGTAATTACCATATGTAGTTTGTTACAAAAATTCAATGTTTGATATTTCGAGTCATAATAATCGTTAAACCCTAATGCTCCTTCGTCTTCTCTCCTTCGGCGCCGGCACAACTCCCTCGCCGGAACCCTCCTCTGCCGGTCGTCCCTCTTCCTCTCTCTCTCTCTGGCGATGGCGTCGGCCCCTCCCCCTCCTCTCGGCTCCCCTTCTCCTCTCTTCAAAACAAAAAAACATGTCAGTTTCAGATAAAATTACCGAGAAATCCACCTGTCTCATCCTCCAACGCCCCTCACCTTGCCTTCACCACCATCTCCGATGTTAAGATCCATGTTCCAATACAACTGAGCTTCTCCCAACCTAATTATAAAAGTTGGAGTCGACTCTTCTCATTCTTGGTACACCGAGTCAATATTCATGGCTTCCTCTCTAGCTCTACTACTCCCTCTTCTGTCGATGATGACAAGTGGTTTCAACTTGACGCCCTTATACAAGGTTGGATTCTCTCCACTGTCACTGATGAAGTTTCAGATCAGATTATCTCCTCCGCTTCTACTGCTGTTGACTTATGGCGTGTGATTCATGATCTATTTCATGACAACAAACATGACCGTGCGATGCAACTCGAGCTTCAATTTTGCACTACTGTTAAAGGAACAACGCCCATGGCCACTTATTGTCAAACGCTGAAGAACACTTATTGTCAAACACTGAAGAATATTGCTGATTGGTAGGATGATGTCGATGCCCCAGTCTTGGAGTCTCAACTTGAGCTTCAACTCCTTCGCGGCCTCCTAGATGATCTTCAGGCTCAAACATCCTTTATGTGATTCCAACAATCGTTGTCCACATTCCTTCAAACCTGGTCTGCTTTGATGCTTCTGGATCAAAACGGAACTCAACACTTGATGGCGCCGGAACAACTCCCTCTCTAGAACCCTCCTCTGCCGGCCGTCCCTCTTCCTCTCTCTCTACGGCGACGCCGTCAGCCCCTCCCCCTCTTCTCGACTCCCCTTCTCCTTTCTTCAAAACAAAAAAAACATGTCAGCTTCAGATAAAATCACCGAAAAATCCACCTTTGTCTCCTCCTCCAACGCCCCTCACCTTGCTTTCACCACCATCTCCGACGTTAAGATCCATGTTCTAATACAACTGAGCTTCTCCAAACCTAATTATAAAAGCTGGAGTCGACTCTTCTCACTCTTGGTACGCCGATTCAATCTTCATGGCTTCCTCTCTGGCTCTACTACTCCCTCTTCTGCCGATGATGACAAGTGGTTTCAACTTGACGCCTTTATTCAAGGTTGGATTCTCTCCAGTCACTGATGAAGTTCCAGCTCAGATTATCTCCTCCGCTTCTACTGCTGCTAAAATTAAAAAAGAAGAAATAAAACATAAAAAAATGAATCATAAACAAAAACATTTGTTCAAAAATAACAATCAGGCTACAAAAATTTATTGTTCTCTACATTAACTGCTAATGTACCGAGTAATGAACCTTGATTTGTTTGAAATCGCCAAAAAAGACCATTTTGGAGTTGTGGTATATTTCAGGTATTACATATCTAGAGATATTATATATAGATCCCTTTTTATCTTCACTAAACATATTTTTTTTTTGGGAATTTGTCATCTCAAATATCAAATCTCATATCCTTCACAAAATAGACTCTTAGTTTTGTTATAACTTTGTTCCCAAAACAAGATTGAAGTCTCCTATAAAAACAAGAAAGTAAGCGTCATGTGGCCATATATATATATATATATATATATATATATAGATACATACATACATACATACATACATACATACATACATACATACATACATACATACATACATACATACATACATACATACATACATACATACATACATACATACATATATATATATATATATAAATCTACAGTAATCGGAGAAGAAGCCATGCCAGATGCGACGGATTCCAAAGGAAACACAGTTCACATCACTTTCCGCAGAGCCCCTTTCATGGACTGCGTAGATGGCCCTTCAAAGACCTCCTCTCTAAAGGCAAGTATGACAATTACGTTTTCAGTGAATCTAGATTAAGCCTCAATGGATTTGAAGAGTATTCAACATCAACTAGCCGAAACATCAGATTTAAATTCCAGACACAAAATAAGATTTTTGAGCTCTTTTATTCCTTCTACAATCACAATTTCTGCATTCTTGATTTTGGTGCTAAAAGATATCACATTTGGTTTGATTTGGACACTGTTAATTGGATCCTGGGTTCTCTGCCTTTCTTTTCGAAGCTTAACTGGGCAGTGTCCAAGTTTGAGGAAAATAGAACCATTGACCTTTCCATTGGTTCCATTAATAGAGGTAAATTTATGAAAATCCGAGAGAGTAGGCGAGAGGACAGTACCTTCCTAATTATTCCCTTTGATTCAAACATTGATGGCCCAAAAATTTTCACAAAGGCCCTCTCCTTATTTACCAAGAGAGCTACCAATCTTGAGATATGCTCAAAGGTGAGTGTGTCTGAGGAACCCAAGGAATCGCTGCACCATTCTCCCAAGGGAACTGATGCTTCATTGCTGCCTACAGTCACAGGGCAGGAGGTTAATACCAAATGCAGTGAAGATGTCACAAGTTCAAAGGGTTCTGTTGGTGATCTCACCCCAGCCGAACCTAATAAGCAATTAGTTATTTACCAAACTAAAGCAGCTCCTGGCTTCACCCTCTCCACCAGTCAATCCGAAGAGTTTCCACCTCTACCACAGAAAATACTTAGTCCTTCTGCTCCCGCCTTCGTGCCTGCTATATACTCCTATGCTGCCCTTTTCACTCAGGAAGAAGGATCGGAAGCTATAGCAGATTTAGAAGATGACCCCTTTTCAAATCTCCATGGGCAAAGTTTGATACTATCCCTCAACGCAGTGGAAGATCACGCAAAGGACAGGGATGGACCCATTCTATATACCCACTCTGATGGGGAGGATTTTGTGTTCATAGATACAAAGCTCAAACCTCTGCAAATTGACCTCTCAAGATGCTCCAAACACCCCCTCCATCTCCGTAAGGAACTAAAGGGTAGAAGGACGTACTCACCGTCACAAATTGTTACAAGGAGTAAAGCTAAAATCCTTGAGCAAGGAAGGAAATTTAATCCTATCGGCTGGGTCGAAGAAGAAGAGTTGTTAGATCCCCAAGAATCACATCAAGATGAGGTTATCAATTTTTTCAAACTTTGTTGTCCTCACAAGAAAGAAGATCCTAAACCTCTTACCAAACCCCTAACCAAAACGCAAAAAAAGAAATTGAAGAAGAAAAAAAAGCAGTCACAATTTTCTGCATATGGTTTTGAGGAAGATATAGAATATGCTTATTGATTATCTCTTCATACTGTTTTTTCCGTTAGCTGCCTTCTTTTAGTTACTGCCTTAATTTCGAAGTCAGTGAGTTGGAGTTGAAGATCAGAGCACCTGTTTTTCATCTCTCAACACTGCCATATCCCTTATCTTAGGGTATTCGGCTAGTCTTTGTGGAGCTAACACAGTTGTGTTAGGAATCCACTTCTGTTTGGATGGAGGTACAAAGTACAACAAAAGAGATGGGGCAAAATGCACATGTTGATGGAAGATAATTGAGGACAAGGGACCTGTGGAATTGTACTACGCTGTTTGGAGCTTTTGCCTGGTCTTTCACTAAACTGCACAGATTACACACTCCTTGGTGTGGAAATTATAACAAGCCGTATAATTGGAGCCCCTTTGGAATTTTGGAAGTTTCTTTTTGTCTAGTTTATTTAGCTTATGGTACCTGTTTCTATTTCCTTTCCTACATTTACTCTGGCCGAAGTGTAGGGCAACTGGCCACCCCACTTGCACTTTTCTTTCTTCTTCTCTATTATTAATAAATTTCCTTAAAAATAAAAAAAATAATATATATATATATATATATATATATATATATATATATATATAGGCAAGTTCAGGTGAGAATGACTCTTGGTGACAAATGAGAATAGATGTTGATCATTGGATGGAGTGCATCAGAAGGCTAAAACTTTAAAAGGCTGATTATTAACTTCCATGTTATTTCTGGTAACGTGCCGCACATGTGCACTAAAATAGGGGGAAATTAATATCTAGGGGCAAAAATGTAAAAAAAATGACGCATGCATTAAAGTAACAAGTTCACGCCTAAAAAAATCCCATTCACGTCTCCATTTATTGGGCTCTAATTTGGAATGATCTTTTTTTTGAAAGAACAGACCAATTCTTTTAAGCAATAGATTGATTTTTTAACACAATAAAAAATATTTTTAGTATGGAGTATTCAAATATATTCTTTTTTTCGCTATTAATTCTACTCTTGTCTTTTTTTAGGGATGGATTTATAATATCCCACTTTTTTAGAATTATCTGAGTGAAATGTATTTTGATATTCACAATTAAAGATTTAATGAGAATGCAACTTGATGACCAATATATGCACTGTGATTTGTAAGTTAGATTTTATTCCATTTTTTTATTAATTTGTCGCTCTGTATGTGATAAGAAATTTTAAGACGCGTTGTATGCAAAACAAGTGTAATATAGATTCGAGAAATAATTTGTCCATGTGGGATTCAAACCCACATCTGTAAAACATACCGCTCTACCATTTGAGCTAATAGGCAACAATTTGTTCTTTTAAAAAGACTTCCATATTACACTTAGACCTATTAAATATGAAATTTAATCTTTTAATATTTGCATCGTTGTACATTTTTCTAACTCATACTCAAATGCATCATTCAACATTTAAAATGAATCTTCGTTTGCAAAAAATTCAATATCTAAATCTAATGGATGCATCATATTTGTGTGAGGAGAGTTTCACTATTAGATAGATGAATTTCGCTCTGACTTTGAAAATGCACAATAGCAAAATACATTATATTTTACGTGTATTCTATGAATGCATTTTCCTTAACATGTAAATGCATTACCTTTACCCTGATGATGCATATTAGCAGAAACTCATGCAGACTTTGTTCATTAACCTTTTAAAAAATTTAATGCATGTTACAATGCACCTTGAATTTTTGTTTGCAAAAATTTCAATATCTAAATCAAATGGATGCATCATATTTGTTTGAGGAGAGTTTCACTATCTCATAGATGAATTTCACTTTGACTTTGAAAATGTATAGTAGCAAAATACATTATATGTTACGTGTATTCTATGAATAGATTTTCCTTTACATGTAAATGCATTACCTTTACCCTGACGATGCATATTAGCAAAAACTCATGTAGACTTTGTTCATTAATCTTTAACAAAAATTTAATGCATGTTACAATGCACCTTGAATTCTCTATTATCCATTGCTAGTGTGTGATTATCTGCCCTAACCTAGAGAATTATGCAACTAGTTTGTAAAGTCCAATGAATAATGGCAAGCCACTTTTTACTCAATCATGTATACAATGTGTATTAGACCAACTCCAATAATTTGTCTCAAACTTAAATACAAAATGCAGTAAATATCAAATCAAACAATAATTTATCTCAACACATTACACTAAATTCAAACCCAAAAAATGTTCACTATATGTTTTTTTCTTATTAATTACTTTTTATAATTTGAGAAATTTAAAAAGAGTAGGCATAAAAAATGGAGTAATAAATCAAACTTGTAGTACAAAAAAAGATTCTAATTCGAAACATAAATGAAAATAGAAGAATAGAGGATGCATATGTATAATTGGATGAAAACGTTTTTTTCACAAAATTTCCAAAGATACCAAACTCGTTTGGCTTTTGTGTGTGCAAACTAAAGAAGACAAAATGCATTACAATGTAATTAGTTATGCATCGTGACTAGGCGGCTTAGCCCCACAGCGATCGACTTTAATTTCCGATCTCAGAACTTGGCCACTGATTGAAATTTCAAATCGATTGTGATGAAAGCCAACCTTGAAAACATAAAGAAATTTGACCTGTAACTTCTTTAATCATAGACTTTCATTGCGAAGAATGCGTGGAGAAGAAGCCCTTGTTACAGATCTTGGCGCTGGAATGGACATCAAGATCCTCAATCTTCTCCTCACTGTTGTTCTCCAAATCTTCCTCCTTGCCGGTGTTCTCCAGCCCATAATTTTAAATCATCTCCTAGCCACTTCTACTCTGCATCACAAGATTTATGGCAAGTATTTATGAAAATCAGAGAAAGGAAGAGAAAAATGAAAATAGGATGAGAGAAGAAGATGATGCAGCCCTAATTTCAAGACCCATAATGGTATGGGAATCGAAGAAATAATGGAGAAAGATAGAAGAATCGCAGATCACGGCAAAAATATCAGAAATTATCCACGAGATAGAGGCCTGATTTATGGTCTGCATAAGAAATACCCAAAAAGACCTCCAAAAAGATAGAAACGAATGTGGGAGAATTAAATAGATGCATTCGATCGCACGGTGAAAAACAATTCTCATTTCTTTCGTAAGATTGTATTCTCACCGGAACCAAAACCTATATATATATATATATACACACACACACACACACACACACACATATATAGATATATATATATACATATATATGTATATGTATATGTATATATATGTATGTGTGTGTTTATATATATATATATATATATATATATATATATATATATATATATATATATATATATATATATATATATATATATATATATATATATATATATATATATATATATATAGGACTGACTCTAGTGAGATGACACCTTACGGTGAGATGACATGCTTCGGTCAGATGACACAAAGCTCACCACTAGCCACTGCAAAGCTCAGCAAAGACAACTACAAAGCTCACCAAACTGTAAGGCAAAGCTCGCAATATTTTTTCAACACTTTAAATTTTTTTCCAAAAAATAAAATCAAAGGAAGGGGTGCTGACTGGACTTTAACTGTTGACCGCCAGCTTTAACCGCCGCCTGTAAGGCCCCGAAATTAGGGCTATCAGAATTAATTAATTGATAATTAATTAGTTACTGAGAAGGACCTAAAAATAAGTGATTTATAAAGTTTGTCAATAAATAATGATAATTATATCATTATGTAGAGTTTGACTGTCTGATCCCAACGGCTCAATCGGATTTCAACTTGGAGAAAGTTGGATCAAAAAGTGCACCCCGACTAGGACCAAAATTAGTCCCAATCAGGGACTACACTCCAATCGGCGCTTACTGTACAAAAGGCGCACTATCCGATTTTGGTGACTCAGGAATATTTCATCTATGTCTTCTTCTCCTTCTTCCCTCTATTTAAGAAGTCCTAACTCTCTCCATTCTCCACCAAATCATCCCAAATTTCTTTCTATTCTGCTGCCCTGAGTGAGGAGAGTTTGTTGGTGCTTCCATTTAGAGAGAGGTCGCGGAGTTGAGAGCTTTTGTTCCCGGAAGTTTCGCCGGAAAATCTTCAAAACCTTCATTACACTTCGAGGTAAGCCCCTAAATATATCTAATGACTAGAATGTTCATATAGGTTGTTTCTACGTTCATAAATGGTCATTTGGTTGAGTTTTGTGTTTGACATGCTTGAAGAACTAAGAATCATAAAACATGAAATTGATGTTAAAATTATGAATTAATGATGCTAAAATGATCTATGAACCGTGGAGAACATTTTTATATACTTTAATTGAAGTTTGGGAAGTAAAAATGATATTTCTGCAAGATAACTCGAGGTAGAAGACGATGAATAGTCGATTATCAACTTGAAAAGCGACTGTGGCTTGTTCTGCAGATTTTTAGAACAGAGCTGAGCAGCAGTCGATTGTCAGAAGGTGACAATCGACTGTCAGACCTTTCGGAAGTTGAAATGGAAGTTGATAATCGATTGTCCAAATGTGACAATCGACTATCACCCCATTCGGAACATCAGACAGTTGATTGTCAGAAGGTGACAATCGACTGTCAGCCTATTCCGCTGAAGAAAATGAAACCAGTAACTACTAAATGCTTTTTCTATCATATATTAATCAATTGTTATGCAGAAAACATGATTTTTGAGTTATGGAATCCTATATTTTGATACCAAACCATTATGATTAATAAAAGGATGATTTCTTGGAATAAAGATGGTGTTTTAACAACTAAAAGGGATCTTACGTGATGCATGACGGTAAGCTAGGGTGTTAACACTCGATGTTAGGCCACTGATTGTTATTAGTTATTATGATGATTGATTGATTGTTCATTATGATGAATATTATGGATTAATGATGATGAATATTCTGGATGAAATGATTGTTGAACTAAGAGTATGAATTGATGAATAATGTTGTTAAGGATATCTAGAAGAACTCTAAGATATATCCATATTGATGTTGGTTTCTAATACTATCTAGAAGACCTCTAAGAAAGGTTAGAAATAGGCCTAGCGGGTATGATGCCCGGTGGCTGGGGTTAAAACGTACGTACGGGATCCAAGAACCAAACTTGAGTACCTACTCGTTTGGGGGTACCACCCAACCCAACAGTGAACACTACGCTGTCGGTTTTTGGTTGACCTTAAGCGAAGGTAAGTTTAAGATTTGAAAACACTTTTTAAAAATATATCTTAAACTAGGCCTAGCTTAAGGCTTAGAATATCTTGAACTAAGATCAGTTTAAGAATGGAATTGGCCTTAGACTAAGCATAGTTTAAGGATATTGTTGAATATTGAATATTGAATATGAACGTAGAATATTGAGACATTGAAATAAAAATATTGAGAATATCATGAATGAATTATATATTGTGTGCATGATATCAAATGGTTGTTTGTGAATTTAGATTCAATTTATGTGGATGTTTGATGCTTTAGATATGCTTACTCAGCTTCTTTGCTGAGCGTGTAGTATGTTTTATTTGCTACACGCAGGTAGACAGAATGAGTGAATGGCATGCTCCTGGCAGTGGAAGGGGCGAGACAGTCGTGGTGGATTTATTGATAAAATAAATGATTATGTTGTTATAAGACATGTTTAAAAGTCGCTTCCGCATTACTATTAAACACTCCGTATTTACTACAATTATGTTTGGAATTTTATTTATGATGAATAAAGTTATTTGAAATGTTTTAAATTATGCGATTACCAAGTTAATACTTTAGTTCGGAAGGGGCTGCAGACCTAGACGAATTAGGGTGTTACACCGCCTACCGCCGGCCGCCGCCAGTCGCCGGTGGCCGACCGTCATCGCTGGTCTCCGACAGCCACCGCCGGTCGCCGCCACCACTAGACTCCGACCGCCATCATCGGCCCTCGCCGGTCACCGCCACTCACCGCCGCCGGACTCTGGTCGCCGCCGTCGAACTCTTGCCACCGCTGCTGCTCCGTCGCCGCTGACCGGTGTTGTTATTTTATTTTTAATTAATTTTTTAATTTTTAAAATTTAAAAAAAAGGTGAGTTTTGAGGTTCAAAGTGCTGAGCTTTGCTTTATTTCCAGATGAGTTTTACATTTTCCATTGGTGAGCTTTGTAGTGTAGTGTGGTGAGCTTTGCGTCATGTGAACGAAGCATGTCATCTCAATGTAAGGTGTCATCTCACTAGAGTCAATCCCTATATATATATATATATATATATATATATATATATATATATATATATATATATATATATATATATATATATATATATATATATATATATATATATATATATGAGTGTGATAATGGGTTCTAGAGAGAGAAACCCTCCAGCTGGCAACCACCATCGGCGACCGGAAACATCTAACGCCAGGCCACACCTCTTCTCCAAAGTGGTAAAAGAAAGCTTCCTTGGGCAAATCAAGAATGAGGGGGCAGCAGGTCCTGTGCTTACTTTCTCCCATGATGAAATCCTTGAGCTGTCCAGCAAGTTCAAATATGGTGTGATTGGAAGGATGGCAAAACCAGTTCCAAACCATGAAATAGGAGACAGTCTACAACGGGCCAGATTTGGAGGCTTTAAGGTCAGCTCTCTAACCCAATCACAAGTTCTCATTAACTTCCTGGACGAAGAAGACTTCTACAGGCTTCTTTATCGGCGTACATGGTTAGTAAATGGGTGTCGGCTCTACCTCTCAAAACGGACTCTTCACTATCTCCAATTTATTGATAATCCGAAACTTCCCATTTGGGTTACCATCAAGAAGATACCAATACATCTTCAAGATCCTAGGGCCCTTCTTTCCATCTCACAACTGATCGGAAACCCTATCAAGATGGATGCCCGAACTTATCAAGCTGTATATCTCAATACTGCCAGGGTCCTTATTGAGATTGATTTATCCTCCCAGCTCCCTAAAAATATAAAGATTAGAACAAGTGAATTCCTTCACTCCCTCCCGGTCTCCTTTCATAATGTCCCTAGCTACTGTAACAAATGCAGTAGGTTTGGTCATTGTTGTTCCACTACATCTTCCACCTTCCCTGCCGGAAAACTCCCCACCGGTGGGAAGAATATTGGGGGTATGGAGACAAGAAACAAATAGACAGTGGTCAGCCATAAGAGGAAGGCACCAAAGGCCAATGTCCAATTTTCAAAGCAAAATGGCCCTACTCTTGCAATAACACATGAAAAGCCATCCACGTCGGTCCAAGGCACTCTTACTCATGTGCCAGTTTAGCATCCTCACAGCAGCACATTGGGCCATAAATAAAGATCCAATCACTTTAGTCCAATTAGGGAGAGCCCACACCAAGAGCTAAGCCTCCCTGGCAGTAATATAGTCACTTCTTCACAAGTGGAAGCAAAATCAAGACATAACCTCTTAAAAGGAAGCAAGGATGACACCCAGGTACTAAAACAATTCCAGGCCACTGATGATTTTCTTCAAAATGTTTTGGGCCATAAGCTACCAAACCTTGAAGATATCACAGATACTTGCACTCATTCTGAAAATGATAGACAGGAGATTTTGGACACCTCCCCTTTGGTACCTATTCTCTTGGATACTCCTAAACACACAAGCAATGCACATATCATCTCTAGAGGAGGAAGTGCTAAAGCTAATGTCATTCCACTCTCATGCCAGACTAGGGGCATGAAAGCAGCTCTAGATCCCCTTAACATGGGTGATCCATGAACCTATAATTCTGGAACATCAGGGGAGTTCGAAGCTCATTACCCAGGCTTCACTCTCTCACCCGATCTCACCGGGTTAATTTCCTTGCCGTATTAGAACCTTTTGTAAAAGAAGATAAAATAAATTTGTATGCCACTAAGCTTGGTTTCAACTGCCACTCTAGTGCGCTAAAGAACAAAGTTTGGCTTTTTTGGAATGATAGTAACCTCCTTTGTGAGGCACAAATACAGGGTGATCAAATTGTTAGTATTTTATTTAGTGACACAAGCACAAATACAAAGTCCATGATCTCTACTATATACGGGAAACACACTGAAGGAGAAAGGGAAGAACTCTGGGCATCAATGAGGTCACACATGCCTAAGGGCCTTCCATGGTTTGTTGGTGGAGATTTCATCGTGGTGGCATCTATGACTGAACACAAAGGGAGAATCCCCCCAGCTCTAAGGGGATAGAGGACTTCTCTCAGGCTCTTCAAATCTGTGAGCTTAGCAACATCACTCCAAGTGGTGTTCTGTACACTTGGAATGGGCGTAGAACGCAAGGAATGGTTTGGCGCAGGCTAGATAGAATTGTGGTTAATCCTAGAGTCTTGGAAGCTTATGAGGAGGTGACACTTACTCATTTAAGCAAAAGTGGCTCAGATCATAAGCCAATCTTCCTTAAATGCTCAAATCCCAAGTTTGATGGCCCAAAAAATTTCAGATTCATCAATGCTTGGCTAACCCATAAAGAATTCCTGCCCATGATCAAGAAGTATTGGCATAACAGCAGTAATGTAAGTGGTATGATGGGCTTCGCTGAAAAACTTAAGCAACTCAAACCAATAATAAGGGAATGGAATAAGGAGATCTTTGGAGACATTTTCCTTAATGTTAAAAAAGCTGAGCATGTGGCTGCTGAAAAACAAGTCAGATATGAGGAGGATCCCACGGAAGAACTGAGATGTCAATCAAATCTTGCTGCTGCTAAACTCTTCCAGGCTTGTAATGTGGAAAGAATTTTCTGGGAATAAAAGGCCAACATCTCCTGGCTGAAAGAGGGGGACTCCAACACGAAATTCTTCCATTCATATGTCAAAGGGAGGAGAGCAAAACTTAAAATATCCACCATAAGGGATGACATGGGGATCAATCTTGACAATGAAGATCGAATTGGTAACCTGGCAGTAGAACACTTCACCAATATCTTTGCTGATCATGCCATTTCAAATCTAGAAAGTATTACCACATACATTCCCACCACCATCACAAAACAAGACAACAATTTTATGAGGAGGCTACCTGAAGTAGAGGAAGTTGGGGAAGCAATATGGTCCCTTAATCCAGATGCTACAGCTGGCCCGGATGGGTTTAATGGAAGATTCTTTAAAGAATGCTGGAACATAATCAAAGTAGATCTGCTTAGGGCATGCCAGGAATTTTTCCTGGGAATCAAAATCCCTGCTTCGTATGGAAGTACCCTCATAACTCTGGTCCCTAAAGGTGACAATCCAGTTAAATGGAAAGACTATAGACCTATTTCCCTTTCTACCTTCATGAGCAAGATTAACACTCGTATTCTAGCCAATCGACTTGGCACTTTACTGCATAAAGTGATTGGTCTAGAACAAGCTGGTTTTCAAAAAGGGAAATCCATTGATGACCAAATCCTCTTGGCCCAAGAGATTGCTCATCAACTGGAACGCAAGGTTGAGGGGGGGAATATCATAATCAAACTTGACATGGAAAGTGCTTTTGATAGAATGAGTTGGCAGTACCTAGAATCAGTGCTAAAGAAGATGAGTTTCAGCAACTTTGTCACAAGCTTACTGCTGAGCAATCTCCAAGCCACAATGATGTCCATCAACATAAATGGAAAGCCTAAGGGTTACTTGCTATGAAGAGGGGAGTGAAACAAGGGGATCCTATGTCCCCTCTTCTCTTTATTCTAGGAAGCGAAGGTTTAAGCAAGGCTATTACACAGGGGATACATTCCAGGTTCCTCAAACCTTTTAACAGTGGACGGGGGCCAATCATCACTCACCTCTGTTATGCAGATGATCTGGTAATTTTCCTCAACGGTAACACCCGTAACCTTCTTCGCCTAATGTCCATTTTGAAAGAGTACGACCTAGCCTCAGGTCAAGACATTAATTGGATGAAGAGAAGGTTCTTTGTGAGCTCCAAGACCCCCATCAGAAAATGCTTGCAAATGGAGAAAGCTCTCCAAATTAGGTGTGGGAAACTCCCCTTCATTTACCTTGGAGGGAACATCACTAAAGGTATCCTTAGAAAGGAGGGTTGCCAACCTATACTTCAACATTTTGACAAGTTTTTGTCCTCTTCGTACTCTAAGGTCCTTAACCCCATGGGCCGGTTGATTTTGATCAAACACGTACTCTCCTCCATTCCTTTACATCATATGGCAGTTAGTGAGCTTCCAAAATCAATCATCAACACCCTCCACGCCAAGATGAAGAACTTCTTCTGGGGATACACCAATGGCAATGCCAAACATCACTGGAAATCCTAGGAATATATGTGCAAACCAAAGAAGGAAGGGGGACTTGGGATACGGGACTTGCACCAGGTCCAAAAGGCCTACTCCCTAAAACTCATTTGGAAGATTAATCACGTGGAGAACCTTTGGACAAACTTTATGAGAGCCAAATACATTTCTAATAGGGCAGCTATAAAGGTGAATCTCCCGGACTCCCCAACGTGGAAAAGAATATGCAAAGCTCATGTATATTTAGAGGATGATGAATTTGGTAGCTCCCTGCCCCTCAACCTAACCATGAAGAATGCCTATGATCTGGTTAGTGACAATGGCCCTACTCTATTTTCATCTAAACACATTTGGAATAAGCTCCTTCCAACAAAAATCCAACTATTCCAGTGGAGATTGCTTAATAACTGCTGCAGCTTTCCAAACAACCTTCGTAGGCTTAAATACCACCTTCCATCCCAATGTGTATTTTGTCTACGATGCGAAGATCAGCAAGATCACACGCTGCTTGCATGCCCTGCCATTGATGGTATATGGAAAGATTTAGCAAAAAGGACGGATGGTCCTATATGGAAGGAGGGAGTAACCCTGCTCCAGCATCTCCTCCAATGGTGGCTATCGTCAAATAAGAATGATTTCAGGGGTATCCTACGCTCTTGCATGCCGGGTTTCATCGTATGGGCTATTTGGAAGGCATACAGTGCATGCGTATATGGAGGTGAGAAGGCCTCGATTAGGAGTATTTACTATGCTACTATCAACTGGATAAGAAGATGGACCCATATGCACTCGGGACGTACGTGGTTAATGAAGTCAAATGGGATGGAGGACTTGGGTCTCTCGGAATGCTGGAACAAAGGTCATAGATATTAGTTTGGTACATGTTCCTCATTTCTTGTTCTTCGTTTTTTGCTCGGGGTTTTGGCCTAGTCCCCCCTGTCTTTGTATTCAGCTCTTATTTTAATATAAATAAATTTATGTGTGTGTGTGTGGGGTCCCCCCTGTAGAGATGGTCACAGGGTTGATTAGCGAACCACACCACCCGGGTTCGATCCTCAGAAGGGGCAACTTTGGGGGAATTTTAAGGGAGTTAAGCGTGCTGGCCATGGAGTAGCAATCAGAAATGATGGGTGACCCCCTGGGAAGTGTTTGAAGATTTATGGGGCTAAGGTTGGAATTACTAATCCCCAGTCCGACCGGGCTTGGGATTAGAAAATACTAAAAATAAAGCGTCTTTGTCCAGCCTAGACTGGTCTAGCTTGCACTTGTCTGCCTCTACACTAGCGTAATAGCCTACAACGATCTTGGCTAGCAATGGCCGTGTCCCTATTCCAATGCAACCTTTGAATAAGTTCATTGTCCTTGAGGGGCTAAAAGTATCTGATTAGGGGTGAGAGGATCACCACCCTTGTGGCTTGGGTACACCTTCTATATGCGAGCGATCATTTGAATAGTCCTCTAAAGGTTGATTGTTGGCCTGATCAGTGATAGGGTATAGTTTTTGTTTACGTTTTTCCAACTCCAAGGCTAGTAAGGAAGAAAGAGAGGGAAAAAAGGGTAAAACATTTCTTGTTTAATATTTTAAGAGAGCTCTTAGTTTTTCTGGCCAAAATTTTCCATCAAACCCCTTCAATTTTCCCTATTAACGGTGTTCTCATTCGTAGGTGTGTGTTGGTCTGTACAACTACTGCACATGATAGCAGTTTTTTCCTAAGAGGAAAATGCCCACATTCTCAAGTATGGTAGCCGAGCACTATTATCTTAAGAACAGCTCTGACAACTCCGCAGTCTTTCTACGGTGTTTAGTGTTTGCAACTTTTCTTCACAGTATGCTCATTCTAATTCGATGTTGTAGTCCTCAGAAATTTTTTATTTTTTATTGTAATTAATCTAAATAAATTATAAATTTAGATTTATTTCTTTTTAATTTCTTCTAGGGGGCATTCATCTTCCCTGTCCGTTGTAATCGGCACGATCGTATTTGTAACAGTCTTACAGTAATAGTCATATTCGTACACGATGGTTGGGATAGACAATTTCAATTTTGACAGTCACGTTGGAAACATGCATGATTTGTCTCGAGACTCCGATTATGACTTGTGAATGCCTCGACTCAATTGGGTGGCTCTGTAAGGAAGACCACTTCAATTAAGGTTCCCCTTTGGATCGAGTGTGACCATGGGGTCTCTTTCGATCATCACCTTTGATGGACCGAGCGCCAGGACCGAGCATGACTACGGGGTCCACTCCGGTCACCTTTTTTATTTGACCAACGACGGCTACAACCGCAACAGTCACCCCACTTCGAACGATTATGGCTTTAGCCATCCCGGTCAACTCTCTTGGATCGCACGCAGCTTTTGCCGCACCTATCATTCCCTATTTTGGACTGAAGACGGGTTCCTTTGCATCCGCTCTGGTCGGGCATCCTATTGTCATAATGCCTACGAACTCTATCAAGGAACTAAAATAGTTCACAAGTGTTGGATCTAAGATGTGACAACAAAAGATTTTGTTTTGGTTGATCACGTCCAACCTTGCAACGTACTTGAGCGATGATCCCCGTGTTGTGGGAGAGAACGCGAACGAGCCAACGGTTCATGCTGGGGAGGCATGGAACTGATTTGTATCTTAAATTTGATTTGAACTGTTTGAGCGATGCCTTGTATGCGGTTTATTACATGTCTCGTCCACAAAGGAATTATGGATTACACTTTCCAACATATACCAAGCTGAGGACGCCCGTGCAAAGAAATTCATTATCGGTAAGGTTCTAGATTTTAAGATGGTGGATTCCAAACTCGTGGTTAGTCAAGTTGAAAATTTGATCCTCATTTTCATTTTTAATGAGAGCACTTACAAGGGTATCAGAGTCAATGAGGCATTCCAAGTGGCAAAAATTATTCATGTGATCCCACCGGCATGGAATAAGTTCTGGAACTGTTTGATGCTCAAACAAAAAGAGATGACCTTAGAACAGTTGCTTGTTCGTCATCAGATCCTAGAAGAGGGTCTTGCTACTATTAAGCCCAATATGGTGGAGCATCCACCCAAAGAGGATTCTTCTAAAGGGCCCTAGCCAAAAGAGGAAAAAAGAAGCTTGGTCCTAAAGGAAGCATCGCAAAGACTAAGCTCACTGGGAAATGCTACAAATGTGGCATCATGAGACACTATTTTTTAGTGCCGCAAGAAGCCTCATAAATAAAAGGAGAAGAAGCAGAAGAAGAAGAAGATGAAAGAGGAGGAGGAGGAAGGGGAGGAATAGGAGGAGAATGTTGAATATTGAATGTTGGATCCCTGAATTGAATATTATGTGTATGATATCAATTGATTTGATTATGAATTGAGATTTAATTTATATGGATGTTCGATGCATTAGATATCCTTACTTAGCTTCACCGCTGAGCGTGTAGTATGTTTTATTTGCTACACGCAAGGTAACAAAAAGAATAAAATGACGTGTTCCTGGCGGCCGACATAATAAAATGACGTGTTCCTGGATATGTTGGTTTTGAATTACTATTTCTAAGAGACATAAATTAATTATGTTTTGTAATTGTGATTTGCTTAAGCCTCCGCAACTTTAAATAATCTATTACTATTCTAAAAAAATTATTATTAAATAAAATTTTAAAATGTTTGAAATGTTTTGAATATTTACAAATACCAAGTTTATATTTTAATCTGAAAGGGGTTGCATACCTTAACGGATTAGGGTGTTACAATCACAGGTACCTGTAAAGCAAATTTATTACTACACAACTCATATGCACAATTCTTGCACAGCTCAATCCCTACGCGACGCACCTTTTGCTCAAACGCGAGTTCTAAAACTACAAAACACTTTAGGAATGGCGCTCCACCATAGCTTGTTGTCGACGCTTCCAGCCGCCGCTGATGCCGTATCCCTACCACTATCACTTGAATCTCCACCGTCGCCATGCCGTACTATGCCTCCGCGGTGCCGCTGCTATCAAAACCCACAATTGTCACTGTTGATTTTTCAATGACATCACTGCTCTCTACCATTTTCGCCCACACTACGACCACACTTTGCAGCATCATCATCGCAGTGTCACATTAACTGTGAATACAATGTCAAAGAAAGATATAATGGCAAACATGGCACCACACAATGTCACACATGACATTATATAATTCCACAAATGCAGATATATAATGCCACAATAATGTGAATTCACAATGTCACACAAAGGAATAATGTCAAACAAAACCCAATGCCCTACATGACTTTTTGACAACAAAGTTGAAAGAAAATAAAATACAACCAAAGATCAAGAGAGAATTCACTCACTTTTGAAATCAAGCTTTGAAGGAAGAACATAGAGGTGCAACAACTAGGCATCGGTGGAGCGATGAATCCGAGAAGCGTAGGGTTGCATAGCGGCAATGGCGATGGCGTTGTGATTGGGTGGCGACGGCGGCGATTGTAATCGATTGAAGAAAGGGGAGGCGGTGGAAGGGAGATCGA